AAACAGATATGTCTTTTATGTCTCTTATTCTTATTTTGAGGGTAGTTTTGAGAAAGGGCGTAGAGACATCTCAACTGTGGCCATTCAATGCCCTAAGCCCCTGGGACCATGTTCCCTTCTTCTAGACATGAGCTTCATGTCAGGACATATTTGGTTGGGGTATAAATTAGTTCTGGGCAATGGAGACAGAAATGCCACTTAGAAGGACATGGGGGAGGGGAAGCAGGTGCAGGATCCAAGCCCTTGGGTTCCCTGCTTTGCTCAGAAGAGGTGGAGCCATCCAGGAATGCTCACTTTCCACAGACTGCAGAAGCAGCCAGAGCCCAGTCTAGTGCCTCTATCACCTACTTTAACTCTGTAGAAAGACTACTGGGTGGCTCAGTCAGTTAAGCATCTAACTTCGTCTCTGGTCATGATCCTAGCATCCTGGGATCAAGTCCTGCATTGGGCTCCCTGCTCAGCGGGGAGTCCGCTTCTCCATCTGCCTGCAGCTCCTGCTGCTTGTGCTCTCTCTCTGTCTGACAAATAAATAAAATCTTAAACACAACAATAAAAACAAAAACTCCGTAGAGCTCAGCAGAGCTGCAGCTTCCCAGGAACCCACTTACCAGTATCTTGAATCCTTCATGGAACTCCCTTTGTTGCTTCTTAGTAGCTTTTGGTCCACTTCTTTGAGGCACTTGCTCATGCTGCCTTCTCCATCATTTTCAACATTTCAGCTGCACACTCTTGTTTTTGTGGTCTTTTTAGTGTCTCCCTATTTAATATGCTGGGACCTTGAACATCTACAACCATCTATTTAAGATCACAGCTTCTGCTGTACAGCATTCTCCTTCATCAAAAAGATGAACTCCCAGACTCCCAATTCTCCTTCTCCTTGAGCTTTCCTCCTCTGAGCACAAACAAGGGCAGAGTTCCTCACCTTGAAAACTTTTCTCTCTGCCATGCAAATGCCTCAAGTGGCCATCTTCTCATATTCCTTCCACACTGGCCAACATCTCAGATGCATCTGTACTGATAGCCTTAACTCCTCAGCTCCCAGAAACTCTCACGGATGCCTCACACGGCAGACAGGCTTGACTGAGCCCCCTCTACAGCTTCAATAAAATTTGTTTCCAAAGTCAGCAAGTGATCTAATTTCTAGATCAGTTGTCTTTTCTCAACAAGTTTGATCACCTATCCTTTTTTAAGATTTGTTTTTTTAATTTCTGAGAGACACCTCTAGAGAGAGAGGCAGAGACATAGGCAGAGGGAGAAGCAGGCTCCCTGTGGGGAGCCGGATGCAGGACTCGACCCCAGAACTCTTGGATCATGACCTTAGCAGAAGACAGATGCTCAACCACTGAGCCACCCAGATGCCCTCATCACCTCTCCTTTTTGAAGTCCTTTCCTGAGCTTGAAAAACACATGCTCCCGGGATTTGCACTTCGCTGTTGGTCCTATTTTCTCTTTTTCTCCTTTCTTACTCTACCCCTGACCCCCAGAGATGGAGACCTATACCAACACTCAGCCTTTGGCTTTTAGTTGTCTCTTTTTGAATACCTTTATCTTATCCACCATCCCAGTATCAAAATTTCTGGCCCAAATCTCCAGTCTGTAACTGCCTCTTTAGCCTCAATAGAGATTGCTCTGCGTAAATAGGTGTTTTTAATACATATATACTGAGAATGCTTTTTTCTTCCATATTTTGCTTCTCTATTATCCTTGCCTGTAGATCTTTTTTTACTCTTTACCAAATTTTACTCTTTCAACCCCAGATATTGTCAGATTTCTCTGTGAAACCTTTCCATCCAAGTCAAAAGAAGATAACTTCCCTTCCTTCTGAATTCCTGTAACAACTCTCATGTGTCATTTGTGAACGCTCGTGTATTTTCTTATCAGCAGCCTTTTTACACTGTTTCTCCAATCGAGTGCTGTCTTTGAAGGTAGGGGCTGTCACCTATGATCCGAAGTCTTAGGCTTCTCAGGGTTACTTTGCCCATGGTTGTTGGTCAGAGAGATTGTCGGTGATGCTCTCAATACCTCCCCATAGAGGCTGAATGTCACCAGCTGGTGAGCTGGGAGCTTGTGGGGTTGGTGTTGTGTTGGGGCCCATGTTGGTCAGTGGACTTCCTTCTGCTCCTTTGGCCGGGGAGGGCTCTGGTGGTCCCGGGAGCACATAGGAGAAACTCTGCTGAATAGGGACTAGAGAAAGAATGTGGATGATGAGCAGCCTGAGGACCACCTTTATTCAGGTTGTTGAAAATCATCACCATGACAGAAGTTAGTAAATAAATTTAAAATTTTCCTTCCCTTGATGCATCAATAACTTCACCTTCATAGTCAAAGCACAGCAAGTAATGACTCTCTTATTTACCCAGAGAACAAAATCATTGAATGAAACCCACATTTTAGAATCTGAGGGTGGCTATGAAAGATGAGAACCAAAATAAAACTGAACAAATGAGGAACAATACCTGCAGTTATTCACACTTCAGGAATCCAGAATTTAATAACCACGAACAGAACCTCAAAAAACAGCAAGTTCCAGAAATAAACTTACTTCAATGATCAAGAATCTTCATCATTGGGTGAAATGGACTATCACCTGGGAATATCTCTGCAAATGCTGAAGCTCTGATGTCCAGCTTAGGAAAGATGAACTTCAAATGTGAGCATTTAGTCAACTGGGTCTTTCTTTTTAATCACCACTCAAAACGAAAACAAAAACCTCTTTTTTTAACTGTTGGCTAAATAAAAATAGTAATAGATAAAATCTGTCCTGAGCAAACAGACCATACATCAATAAACTAACACTTAAGTCTAAGCTATTTTCCATGAGACCCATGAAGCATTTCTAATTGAAACTTAATAAGCTACAGTGCAGCAAATACTGTAGTCTTCAGCTCTAGAAGGGAAATGTGATCCAGTATGCAGACATAGGAGCTTTTTAATTTAGCTGGAAGCAAGTGTGCCCGTGTAGTTGTGTGGCATAATTTTTTTAATTGCTGAAGTGTCACTGTTTGCTATTTCACATTTATTGAAAAATGTAAATGCCACATGTAAGAGAATAGCAATATGTCTTGTTTCAGTCTGATGGCTTAATCTGACTAATCATGATAATATATGCTAGCTGGAGTTGAGAATATTTAATAAAATACTGAAATACATTTGTTGTGCTTACATTTAAAATAAATCAATAAAAACACCTGCGCCTGCAACATTTAAACCTTTATTGCTTTTACGTAAGAAACAGCACAAGGATGATCCTTTGACAAGAACAGATGTACCTCGGTGAGGATCTTCATCACTCGGCACAAGGGGGCAGGTGTGCCAAGAGTGAGGCACATGGTACCAGAGAGGGAGGGAAGGATACTAGCAAGATCTTACATTTGTCTGTACTTTCCATGACTGAGTCATCTGTGCGCACATTTTTACATTTGCATTTCATGGGCCTCTGAGATGGCAGGGTGGACATGGCCACCTGCATTTTACAGATGAGATTCCTAAGGCTGGGGAAGATACTGTTCCACTCCAGCCGACAAAGGTGAGGCCCATGCTGTCCGCTCCACCCCCCAGCCCCCGCCCCCGCCCCCGATGTACATCAGTTACTCATAGTCTACACACACCCTCAAACAGATACTGTGTCTCTCCGCAACTTCTGTGTAAGGGGTTCTCTGACACCATGAATCCCTTTTGTTGTAGTGAGTGGGAGTGGTTGCTTAGTCTAAATCCTTCTACCCCTTTCCCTTCTTAGCACAGGTGGCAGTGGTGGGACCCGGGGACCTCGAGCTCCGGCACAGCTGCGAACGCAACATGGCACAGTTAAGTTAGTTGCTAAATCAGAGCTCAAGGCTAACACGTGATTACTCATACAACAGATGCAAAAGGATGAAAAAAGGTGAATGACAGTTTTTCAAAGTTGAAACCTTGGTACTTTGGTTTTTGTGTGTGTGTTTTTTTAAAAAAAAACACATTTTTTTTTAATAAACTCAAAAACCATCCTGACATGAAACATCACCTTCCCCTTCCTCTGGGCCATGGGCAAGTAATTCTGCAAGGCCTAACTCAAGAACAAATACTAGTTTGAAGTGGTTAGAAGGGATCCCTGGGTGGCTCAGCGGTTTGGCGCCTGCCTTTGGCCCAGGGCCTGATCCTGGAGTCCCGGGATCGAGTCCCACGTCGGGCTCCCGGTGCATGGAGCCTGCTTCTCCCTCTGCCTGTGTCTCTGCCTCCTCTCCTCTCTCTCTCTCTCTCTCTGTGACTATCATAAATAAGAATTAAAAAAAAAGAAGGTAACAGTATGAGGGATTGTAAAGCAAAGTGTCAAGGCCCCCCAAGCATCTCCTTGGTCTTCCTTGAAGGCTTTCCAGCCTGGGGCCTGGGGCCGGACCACCCACCCCTTCGCCAGCGGGCGGCTCCCCGGGAGAGCATCTTACCTAGAGCCCCTCGGTCCTCTCACAACATCCCAAGTCCCCCCCTCCCGTCCGCCCCCCACTCCCCGGGCTCTCCCCACCTCGCGGTCCTCAAAGGGTCTCATGCGGTTCCTAATCGGATCCAGCAGTGTCCGTGTGGAACTGTTCGGGCCTCCGAGTGGGGGCCGGGAGAAGGCCGGTGCTCTCCGCCGGCAGAGCCGGGAGGGCCGCCCGAGAACCCGCGCCCCGCGCCCCTCGGGGCAGCCCGGGGCCGCCCTCCTCCTAGACCGACGCCGGCTCCCGGCTTCTCCCGCAGGTGCGCGCGGACGGGAAGGGCAGGTGGCGTCGCCAGGCACCTCGGCGGGCCGCGGGGAGCGGGGAGGCCCGGGCGCGGGGGCTCCGACGTCCCGACGCGCTCGCCCTCTGCGCCCCCGCCGCCGGCGCGGGGGGCGGCGCCGCCTCGCAGGTAATTATTGCCAGCGGGGCCCGGCGGGGAGGCGGGGGCGGGCGGCGCGGCGGGGCGCGGGCATAAAGGGGTGCGGCGCGGCCCCAGCGCCCGGCTCCCGCGCAGCATGCCCGCCCGCGCCCCGCCGCGCCGCCCGCGGCCGCCGCCGCCCCTGCCCCTGCCCCTGCCCGTGTCCCTGCCCCTGCCCCTGCCCCTGCCCCTGCCCCTGCCGCCGCCGCCGCTGCTGCTGCTGCTGCTGGCCCTGGGCGGCCGCCGGCTGCACGCCGAGCCCGGCGACGGGGCGCAGACCTGGGCCCGCTTCGCGCAGCCTCCGGCCCCCGAGGCCGCCGGGCTCCTCCACGACACCTTCCCCGACGGCTTCCTCTGGGCGGTGGGCAGCGCCGCCTACCAGACGGAGGGCGGCTGGCGGCAGCACGGCAAGGGCGCGTCCATCTGGGACACCTTCACCCACCGGCCCCCCGCGCCCCCCGGCGCGCCCCCCGCGGCCGGCCTGCCGTCGGGCGCCCGGTCTCCGTCCCCGCCCGCCACCGGGGACGTGGCCAGCGACGGCTACAACAACGTCTTCCGCGACACCGAGGGGCTGCGCGAGCTCGGGGTCACCCACTACCGCTTCTCCATCTCGTGGGCGCGGGTGCTCCCCAACGGCAGCGCGGCCGCCCCCAACCGCGAGGGGCTGCGCTACTACCGGCGGCTGCTGGAGCGGCTGCGGGAGCTGGGCGTGCAGCCCGTGGTCACCCTGTACCACTGGGACCTGCCCCAGCGCCTGCAGGACGCCTACGGCGGCTGGGCCCACCGCGCGCTGGCCGACCACTTCAGGGACTACGCCGAGCTCTGCTTCCGCCACTTCGGCGGCCAGGTCAAGCACTGGATCACCATCGACAACCCCTACGTGGTGGCCTGGCACGGCTACGCCACCGGGCGCCTGGCCCCCGGCGTCCGGGGCAGCCCGCGGCTCGGGTACCTGGTGGCGCACAACCTCCTCCTGGTGAGTTCAGGGGCCAGGCGGAGGGCCGCGCGGGGAGGGGCCCCGGGGACGCCAGGGGCAAGGCGCGCCGGAGCCTCCAGCCTCGGCCACCCCCCTTGGCGAGGCCAACTGGGGGATTCGCCTCCCGGGGGAGCAACCGGGCAGCTGGGGCTGCCCTGGCAAGCCAAGCAGCTGGGAATGGGGGGGGGGAGGGGAGGGGAGCTCCTTTCTCTGGGTGTAGGGGAAGCCCTGGAGGTAAGGAGGGACGCTTTCCTGAGAGTCCGGAAGGGGAGACTGAGGAGGGTGGCCAAGAGAAACTGCAAGCTTCGGGAGCCTTGCAGACAGCATGACCCTCTGCTACTCTTTGTGGAGATGTCATGAGTTCAGTGTTTAATCCCATCAGATCTGTTTTGTGTGTGTGGCCCATGTACAACTGAAGCAAATTCAAAGGTGTCAAAATCACATGTCCTAGAGAGCCGGGCTTAAACTCTTCCAAGGTTCTTTCTGTGGCACGCAGAACTGCACCCACCCACCATACTAATCATCAGGAGTGTGAAGACCCCCTTATGCAACCTTAAACAGAGCTAGCCATAAAAACAGTTGTTTCTACAACTACAGGATGATCTAGATTATGCCCTCCAACAACTGTATTTCCATGATCCTTTCTCCAACTTCAAGGGTTCCTTAGAGATGAGATTTTTAGCCTGACACAATTGATGTTGACACCCTTGTGCGATGCCTTAATACATTTTGACAGCAGGCATTATTGATGAGCCATGATAAAGTTGTCTCTCAAATAATTCTTCCTCCTATTTCTCCTTCATTTGGTGTTCAAGATTAGGTCCCGTTGATCTGCAGGTTCCTTTATGATGATGTCAGTTGTTGGTACATTTTGTACAGTTTTGTATCAGGAGGAGAGAAAGAATTTTTTTATGTGTATGGGCAAACATTTTAATAAAAATGTTTAAATGTCTAACTTCTGGTAGTGTATTTTGGTGACTTGTGAGCCTACTGAAGACCTATTTGAAATTGAGAATTAAGCCACGTATTTTGAACGAATTCAAGATGAAAACCACTTCTACACACTTTTAATTGAAGCCATAGATAATTGAGGTAGGACAGCTCGGGGTTATTGAGGTGACATAGCGCTCTGAGCTGCTGCTAGTGTTGCAGTAATGGCTAAATTTGATTGTATGTCAGCTTCGGTTTGCTACCACAGCTCATAGAAGAATGTCGGATTTGTTGGACCAAAAAACTTGTTATTTCAGTTGGATATATATTTTTTCATTAAGATACTTTAAAGCTATGGTAGGAAACTTTTTCAGTCTGTCAAAAAATTTTTTTGAGGAATCAGAAGACCCTCAATGTCACCTTTTCATGGTTAGTGATAGAAAAGTTATGGGAAGAACTGGCCCCTCTTCTGAAGAAAACATAGGCAAATTTTAGTTCATATCAGAAACAAATAAGATATTTGTGGACCAGCTGGAGGACCTAATAGACCATCCCTGAAAAATCACTGCTTTTTTAAAAAAAGATTTTATTTATTTATTTATTCACGAGAGAAACAGAGAGATAGGCAGAGAGATAGGCAGAGGGAGAAGCAGGCTTCTTGAGGGGAGCCCGATGTGGGACCCCATTATGGGACTCTGGGACCACACCCTGAACCGAAGGCAGATGCTCAACCACAGCCACCCAGGTGTCCTTACAAAATCACTTCTTTAGATTTAAATCATACAAGTTCTGTTTTTAGAGTGCATGTAATAAACTCTGTATGTATACAAAAGTCATCGATTTTTATTACAGTGACTTTCATGATAATTTCACTTACCAGGAGTTGGGGCTGTAGAAGCTTTCTGGAACTCTGGTATTTGGAATAGTCAACAGGCTTTGGATTCTTATTCCCACTTTTGGCCCTCTGATGAACTTTTCAGTTATATTTTTGTATGTTTACGCAAAAAAACTTGACAAACACTAACCATCCTTCCCAGAAGCAGAGTGGACTTTGTGTTCATAAGAAATTAGTAACAGGTGGACACTTGGTTTTGCCGATGCTGCAAACAAATGCTGTAAAATATTAATTTTGCTTTCAAATTTCTTTGGCTTGGAATTCAGTCAGTCTTGTATACTGTGAAGAGATCATTTGTCATCAAGTATATTAAGTTTTTCATATGAGATATTTTCCTTCTATTTTCAGTGTTCTTTCTCAGTGGATGTGTTAGGGAGAGGGAAGTAGGGAAGTTTTGACCTTATTGGAAAAGATAAAACATATGCTGCAGATTTTGGTAATAGAACATTTCAGCCAGGACCTAGAAAATTGCTGTCAAGGCCACGAAACTCCTAGCATATTCTTTTGCATTTGGGGATCTGATGATGACGAAGGATGAAGCTGGCCAGCACCTCTTCCCTGCCCCATTCTGTGCCACTAATTTAGGTGGGCTAAGGTGGGCTAAGGAGACCCCTTAGGGAGACTGGGAATTCGAGCCAGACTTCCCCCTTCCCCTGCCTCCATTCAATAATCATTGTCTGATGGCCTGGAGGACAGGAGGCAGGCCAAACAAACTGCAAGGTGAATAATGGGGGGCTCTGCTCAAAATGGAGGCCTCCATGTTCTTTTGGAGTCCTGGTACTGAGTTAAACCTTGAAAAAATAGTCCGTGTGTGTAGGTGTGTCTGTGTGTGGGGGTAAAAGAGCTAAAGAGGGACAGAGACAGAGGGGGAAACAGAACTAAAAGCAGGGTTTCCCCCCACAGAGCTCTAGGAGCCCACGTTGCTTTGCTCATCTGAGCATCACCCAGAAAGAGGACATACCCTTTCTCTTGACTTGAAGAGAGACTGCTGTGCCTTCACAGCCCTGGGAAGGTGATTCTTGAAGTCCCCTGAAAAACTTGCACTGAAGGCCTGAGATTGTGATTCCAGCCCCAGAGTTTTTGTTCTGACCATGGGTTTCTGAGAGGACCAGGACCCAGTTGAAGATACATGTGGACCTCCCACATGAGAGTCTTGCAAACGCTTGTACCGGGAACCTGTGGGAAAAGACACTGTTTTTCACATGAGGAGGTAGGACGAAAACAGAAATCTTTGGACACTAATGGATGGTATAGACACAACTGGTATTGAGCAGGCCATGCATTCAAATCAATGCTCGTGTCTTAGTTCCTTTCTCTGCAGCATATATCTAGACACTATTTTCTTTTCTCAACACATTTCCTCAACTTGGCTTTCTTGCTTTCCCTCTCAGCTCACTGGTGACTCCTGTGTTCTCCACACCTTGCCTGTAGATGTTAGAGGGCCCAGGGCTCCATCAAGGGGCCTCTTCACTAGATTTACTCCAAGTGAACTCTTGAAATACTCTAGATCCTGATGATTCCAAGTTTTGAGTCTCTAGCCAGAACTTGTGCTCTGAGCTCCAGACCTGGAGAGACAACTGCTTTCTCCACTTAGATGCTCAGTGGGCACACCACACTGAACACACCCAAAAGCAAACTTCTGTTCTTCTCATCTCCATTATGGCAACTCTGCTCTTTCAGTTGGCTTAGCCCGAAACCTTAACTCCTCCCTTCTCTCACATCTTACTTTCCATCCATCAACAAATCCTATAGCCCTATCTAACCTTCAAAATGTATCCAGAATCCAACCACTTTTTTTTTTTTTTAATCTACAGCCATGGATCCAAGCCCCTGTCAGATTCTGCCTGGGTCATTGGAATAGCCTCTTGCCTAATGTCCTTGCCTCTGCCCTTGCTCCCTGCAGTGCGCCATGATGGGCATTCTCAAGGCTATATCATCATGTGTGAGCGAGACAAAGTCCTTTATTTATTTAAAATCCCACATTTCCTTCAATGACCAGCTCACGCATTCCCTTTGGCTCCACACCTGAATGCCATCTCTTCCTTCTCTGAAATCCCACTGTGCTTCATTTCTGATGCGTCCTACCACAGGCCTCCTTCATGTAACCATTTGCCTTCTTTCACTTCTCCACTGGTTGGGTTGGGCAATTCCTTCAGTGAGGAAACTATGTTCACTTCGTCTATCTTAAAGTGCCACCATGTCCTTGGTAGGTGCTCAGAAAGTGGCTTCTGGCCATTTAATAGCTTTTACAAGCAGATGCTCCTAAGATTTGCTCTTACTCTCTCTGTCAATCTTTCTAGCCACTTTCCAATGGGACAGGAAGTACCAAATCCTAACCAGAAAGATCAGTAAGCATAAAGGAGCAGAATCTGACATTTTCAGCAAATATTTAAGGTTCATCGTCAGATTTATGATTCCATTGTAAAAACCACCAATTAAAAATTAGAGTCACTGTGCAATATTATGAAGACGTTCCCAGAATAGGAGGTAGGGGAAGTCTCCTGGCTGGCTTTAGTAGCATGACTTTTGTCATCTGGATGACTTTTCATTTCTCAAGTAATAATGAAGGCAATTTATCTGCCAGATACATGCTCAAATTGTATATGTCACATGCTTTTGGGAAGCACTTTGCCAATTTTCCTCTCATTAAAATATATTTGGTACATAGATGTAAAAATCAACTTGGTTGGAAGTTAATGTGTTTTGTAGAATAGTACTGAGTTCCTTAGTGTGTTTAATCAGAAATAGTTAAAATATCTTCCAGGGCGCTTGACTCACTCTTCTTTGAATATCTGATTGAACATCGTGTTTTTTAAAGGTTACAGTCAAGTCCAAGAAAAATTTTAAGAATAGGAAAACAAGACTAATAATTTCAAAATCATAGCAATGTTTAGCAATGTCAATAGAAAAGAGGGAAAATACGAACTACTCAGCATTCGAATAATGTCAATGCATACTTCTTAAGTACAAAATGAATGAATGCACAACAGTGTACCTGACTATGTAGTTAGTCATAGCTTTGGCTTATAGAACTCTTCTGAGTTATATTAATTTTTCAAACAGTAAGATCGTTCTAAGCCAGAATTTTATTATAATTAACCTGTACAAAATGTGCCTTTCTTTTAATGAATGTCATCTTTTTAAGGCATAAAGGAAAGTTGAGGTGTAGGAGGAG